TTAATTTTTTCTGGCGATAATTGTACAACTGTATATGCGCCGCGAGTATCTTCGTAGAATTTAAAAAAATCTTTGTAGAAAAAGAAGCAAAGGAACAAGCAGCACATGTTAGATTTACACTATCGGTATAGTGCAAAAGACTGTCATTCGTTAGAACATGATTACCCCCCCCCAAAAAAAAAAAAAAAATTAAAATAAATAATAATAATAACAAAAAAACCTAGATAAATTCTGATAGCTTATATTTGTTGCCTCGCCGTAGTAGATCTAGTTTGCTGTTGTTTCTGACAACACTCTCTTCCAAATCTCGCAAAATCTCACTTGCTTTTGCTTTAAAACGCGAGACCTTGGGTCGCCTCGGATGATTCCATTTATCTCTGTTATACCCCCTTTACACTGGACGGCGTCCTTTCTGCGTCCTCTCTGCGACCATGAAATTTGGCATCGCTGTGGTCTTAATAAGGAGGCACGAGCATTAATTTTGTATCAGAATGAATGCTCAATGATCGGCCAGTTGTCGGCACGTAAAATATTATAATTTTTAAACTCTCAAATGGGGCCGGACTGCTGGACGCAGAAAGGACGCCGTCCAGTGTAAAGGGGGCTTTATGGATAGTTACTGTGAATCTTGCGAATATTGCACATCGATTTTACAGTGGTCTGCGGTGATGCTACATTACATAAAAGATTCGTAAGCAGACTTTTCTGACATTAACTGACATTTTCTTTGCTAGGAGACGCAACTCTTACCTCATGCGGCGCCAGCTTGTTTTGTGCCCTTGCTAGAAGGTAAGTTTGCATGTCGTCTGTTTATTGTTAATTAAATGAAACGTTGATTTTGTTCGAGCTTTCAGTGATTCGATTGGTTTTGTAATTTCAGTTCGATCATTATTTGTGTCAATCACCATGACTTGTACACAATTTTGGATATCTTGATATTGTCTTTTTTGATGCCACTAAAAGGCAGGAATAGTGATTTTTTTCTTGTTACTTAATTTGCATCTCTTGATTTGAATATTGTCACAGTGTGTTCTTGGATTTATGATGAAACACAAATAGATAAATAACATAAGTTAATCGAAGTCATTCATGTGAAGAACACGATTTCGAAGACATCGATTTTAGTTCTTGCGGTGTAGAATTGAATCAGTTAAAAAACGCATTTGGCCATGCATCAGAAAACACCATATTGTACTATGTACTAGGGTTATCTGCACTTAAAAATCATACTTTTTAATCGTGAATTTTTTTATGAAACCCTACAATGAGTTGAATTTCATTAAGAGAGTGTGCTATGAATATCTTGAATTTTGATTTAGTGTCACGTGGTTATTATAGAAGATATTTTATCAAACCTGTTTTTTACGACAAAGATAAGTCCGAGAAGTAGTGGAAATTACTATAGATGATACTATTGTTGTAACACCTATGTGTTTTTTGTACTCGCCTCTCTGTATATACTGTAAATGCATGACATCCATTAATATCTCCCATCTTGATTCCTTCGACACGTTCGTTAAAATATACATGTAATGGTCGTAACTTGATGTAAACTGATACTTTTGAAAGGTAAAAAAAATCCGTTGAAATCGTATAAAAAGTAAAACACCGTTGTTAGTTTGAATACTCTTTGATTTACTTAAGCATAGTTTAGAAAAATCAGTTTTTAAAGATATTGGTATCTTCAAGAAATAGTGTGAACATGTTAAAACAATTTAAGGGCTTGAAACAGCGGCAACGGACATAGTATCTTTAAAAATTTATACATTTTTTCATTGGTTTTCAAATAATGTCAGAAGAGAACACAAACTCTCATTATACCAGCTGTGTACATTAGCTTCAGCAATAAAGAAGTAGCAATATATATAAGGACCTAGTATCAGCAAACGAGGGCAAAAAAGCAACAATTCAGAGATTGTTACAGTCTTTTTTTCTGACTTTACTGACCTCACATTGCATTGTCGAAGGTTTACTATTACAATGAAATATTCATATTTGCTGTTATATCAGGCCTACCAACTACCAGACGCGGTACGGGAAGATCCAGATTTCACCGTAGATCGGATCACGCTACCAGTTTTCAAGGTGTGTTTCAGTACGCACTTCGAAGTATCAGACGCGGCACGCGTGCCAGGCAAGAGGGTGCCGCATCTGATACTTCAAAGTGTGTACTGATACACGCCACGTTTGGAGGCGCCGAAGCTTTGTACTGAAACCTTAAATGTAGCTTCATGGCAGAATTCCTGAATTCCTTTGAACGACAGGGAAATGTTTGAACTCTAGATTTTCTAAAACATTCACAGAGAGCAAAGCATAAAAAAAGAAACGAATAGAGAGCTTAGAGAGCTCTTTGAGAATGTCAGCTTACTTTTTACGGATTCTAGTTCATCACTTCATGCCTAAGTTTAGTAAGTGAATTTAACTTTATCCTCGGGAGCGGACTTAGTTTTTTTTCCTGTATAGGAAGCATTAGAATGAAAAGCCTATATTTCCACAAAGGAAAGCGTCAAATAGAATATGTGTCAGTAAGTACAGATCTCTGCACGACTGAAAAATAATGTTGTTGATGTTTCTTCTGTATTCAAAATTTACGCAGAGATTTCGAATAAGGGAGTTTAATTCATTTAAAATGCACATAGGAATATGAACTTTCTAATTGACTCGTATCCATAGCCAAGAGTTTTCTTGTTATTATTTATGCATGTTCTTTTGCGGGCAATCAAGTTTCTAAATATTTTTCACTATACAAATTGTCTTCTTGTCATTGACTTGTCTCTCTTCATGGTATTTCTTTTCTTTTATGAAATCACAGCATTAAAGAATCATCACACCATGACGAGTGTCCCCTTGGTAGTCAGATCATTAATAAGACATAAGATATATGGCAGGCATGATTCAGCTGTACAATAAGCCAACGACTGTGGGAACCGATTTTACCACAGCCGCATAGCTTTCATTCATTGCGTGTTGAGATAGATATTGAGATAGATATTACACTTGCGTCTCTTGCCTTTGATATTCGCTGCCCTCATGCGTTTTGTGTTATATTTACCTCGCTTTTTTTAACCCACGCGAGGAAATGCATGTATAAAACATGAATTAAAGATACATTTTAATTCAGAGTGGTACTCTTCCGGCCGAAAGAGTGGTGCTTTCGACCCCCGCCCCCCCTCCATCCCCCCCCCCCACCCCAAAAACGCCCTCTTCCGCTTCGTATTATATTGACTTCTTTTTTAACACAACTAGAGGAATAACATGTATAAAACATGGATTACGGATGCAATTTGATTCAGAGTGCTACTCTTCCAACCGAAAGAGCGTTTGTTTCGACCTACCCGCACCCACCCCCACCCCCTTCTACTGGCATATGTCCTGAGGTCCAGTGTTCCGGCATGTGGCTGCTCTCTGCCCCTGTGATTTTAAGGCAACACAGGTGAAGGTCACTGATTCCACTCAAGTTCCTTCTACACTTGGACATAATTACGAATATGTCCAAGTTCTACACCGGGGCTTGCGGCTCCTTGGAGAACGCATAGTTACCCAAATCTCCCTTCAGAGTTGAAACTTTGACAATTATCTTATCTTTGGCCACATATTTGTAAGAATGGACTAAAATTCGTTCCGTAAGCGGTCGCAAGCCCGGTGTAACAGGGGAGAAACCCTTTCATGTAAGAACTAGTATAAAATCAATGCATGTAAAAGTATGAATCAGGTCACGGATATACCGGTACAGTGTATCTACGTAAATGAAATAAAGTTTCGACTAACCTTCATCTTATAATTACAGTGCCAGCTAGGTAACGACACATAGAATGGGTTGAGAAGCTGCATTTGCAAAAATTACCTCGTGTTTTTCAGTTAGCTAATTTGCGGTAGAACAGTGGAATGTAATTGCGATCTAATAAAAGCAGAAGTCAACTTTCCATCAGACTTAATAATGGTTGGCTGACAGAGCTCGAGGAAATTATCTGGAGAGAGAGAGAGAGAGAGAGAGAGAGAGAGAGAGAGAAGGGTGTAAAGAGAAAGTATAAAACTGTAGCAAGATCAATTGAATCAATAAAACAATCGATTGAACATGACACTACTGCAAATGTGTGTGGGAAACGTATCATCTAAAACATTGCAATTCATTAACTCTTCATTTTTTTTCACAGGTTCACAAGGATGTTCCCACGTTGCCCGAAGCCAGCGCCATCTATATAAATGATGTAGCTTATTGGACGTTAGTAATAAGGGTGGAATTGCATCGCAGAGAAAAGTAAGCACTTAGAATCTTCCATTGCCATTAATGAAGAAATGTGGAAAACTGAAGAGTATTTAAACATAAGATGTTACAATAATTGGTTTTCCTTACTGATTACTCATATAACAGAGAAAGCGACATACTCGTACGTTTTTTCTGGCGGTGCCCGCATGCGAGAATACCAATCAATGCTCAAACAGTAGAGTGGCGCAGTACCACATTTTCCTTTTTTTCAATTTCTAGGTCGTTTGATTCATTTCATAGACGGGTAAACACAGAGGCGTACGTTATAGAGATATATATCGTTGAGTGGTGGAATTTTTGCCATTAAGACTGCTTGGACGACTTCTACCTAAAGCGTGAACTGTCAGAGAATCAATCGGCACAAAAAGAAAAAGATCAATTTTAGTCTTTGATTCAGCTTTCGAAAAGGTAGCAAATAGTCGATCAAAGAAGATGAGGCCTGATGCTGCAGCAATGATTCCATTCTGGGGCTTCGAAATGACATTCGAAACATAAAAATCGGATATCGGTTTACGTCTGCTTGGATTAGGTGATCAGACGATTTTCACACACGTGAACTATTCCACCATATTCAATAGCAGGGATACTTCGCTTTTTAAACTGGTTGCAAGTGATAAGCTTAATCAAACTGATCATCCGCCTTTGACGATCAAAGTCCATGTTATTCCATTGAATCAAAAAACATAATTACAAGTGACACACCTTAACTGGCTATTGACCCGAGACAGGCATCATGGATGACGATGGAAACAGCACTTCAGACGAAACGACCGCGCTGAACAGAACCGCCCCCGCGTTTTTTCTCGTTCTAGCTGAGACGAATTCTATCTTAATTCCTGTTTTATATGCCTTCGTTTTGCTCATAGGTGTCGCTGGAAACGCCATGGTGATCTATGTTATTTTGGCCAACAAGTACATGCGAACATGCGCAAATATGTTGTTTTTGAACTTAGCCGTGTCGGACCTTTTGTTCCTTGTGTTTTGCATCCCGCTCGAAGCGGCTTACGTCATTACGAAGTACCAGTTGGAACTTGGTAACCTTGCTTGCAAAATGCTGAAATACACCACGTTCGTGTGCACGACTGTTGGTGCATACTCGCTGGCGGCAATATGCGTTTTCCGTTGCCGTGCTGTTGTGTCCCCGATTCGGGCGTCTCAGTTCCTTACCACGCGCCATTCTTTGTCAACCACCGTGGTGATTTGGGTGACCATACTGGCCGTCAACTCCCCGGTTGCCGTGTATTACAATGAACGCATCGGCTGCAGCATCGAGGTTGCCACTGAATTGGAATTCGTGCTTCTGTTAAGTTTGATGGTTGGAGTCGACTTTCTACTTCCGGTGGCAATTGTTGTCATAGCGACAGTCGTAATCGTAATAGAAGTCAAGAAGTGTAAGTTTTCGACGGAGGAACAACTTTTGCTGGTTCATGGATATAGTCGCAAGGTGACAGCACTTGCTATTGCAGTGGCGGGAGTTTTTGTCGTCTGTTGGGGGCCTTTCAATTTCCTGTTCGTCTATATATCATGCGGCGGTGGCGGGGACCAAAAGGTCATGGGCATTCTTAATATAAGTGCTTTATTTCTAGCGTACTCGAACTCGTGTCTAAATCCCATCATTTACAACTTCGCCTCAAAAGAGTTTCGAAAATCGTTTCGTTTGACTATTTCTAACACGTGCAAGACCAGGAAAAACAGACGACGATCGAGGAAGATGTCCAGCACCAAGACTAAAGTAAGCATTGACAGTGCTATAAATTTGCAAGAGTGCATGGGTTTTATAGCGTCTAAAGAACAGACGGAAAGAATTCCCGTAAGAAGTGGATGTGGCGAGAGTGCCCGGTCTTTGTGTTAAGTCACTGGACAATAGAATTCGGTAGTGAAGAGTGTTATCTGCATGATCGTTTATTCTACAATTTTTGAAATTGAGTATTTAACCGTTTGCACATATAGGAAGAAACGCCTACGAGTGGGCATTTAAGGTAGTTTTGAAAGAGGAAAGAAACAACAGAAAAGTGCACAGTATACTTTGAAATGCTAAATAAAAACACGCTTGAATGAGCTTAAGAAATCTACCTACCTAAGAGCAAGACATTTCTTCGAAAGCTTTAGAACCGATTCAAACCTGGGTCGATAAAAATCTGAAGACTGCAAAAAAACAGAAAGCTGATTGGCCTCAGACAAAGCCAACATTTTTATAGAAATAAAAAGAGCTGTAAGACGATAGATAGTTTGATACAGATAGATAGATATTTCGTACACACAATGATGCAAAATGCGGGCGAAGCAAACATGTCAATTGTACAACCAAAGCCTTAGCAAAGAGGAAACGCACGGATATACTGTAATGCAGTGGATATTCGGCTATGTCCTCTCTCCATATGTTGTACTTATATACTATCTTTGTATATAAACTTCGGCTTATTTTACATCAGTTGATGAGCTAAGTTTTATTTCATTTTAAACAAGTTTATTTATTTTGTTTCGACAATCCCGTACAATTAAGATAGCGGAATGAGCCAGTGTCTTTGGGAGCATTCACATTGAGAAGAGCCGAGGTCTAGTAAGGCCGCGACCTAAATATGGCGGACCTACATGAAAGAAAGACCGTTAATCTTTTATGGTCTCTCCGCCTCTCACACGCCCCCCTCCCCAACCCCCCACGCGTTGTCCCTCGACCGGTTGAATTGAGCTGAGATGTAATTACTGTGCTCCTGCAGGGACGACGCGTGGTGAGGATTAACAGGATAAGCGGTCTTCATTTCATGTAGGTCCGCCATATTTAGGTCGCGGCCTTACTAGACCTCGGCTTTTCTCGATGTGAATGCTCCCTTTGTTCAAGGAGATGGAGCCAGACTGCACGATACCGCCACGATACCATGGAATTTTTTCAAGACATTGAAGTATACATTTTGCTCATTCTTTGACGTGTGGGTTATACTGGGGAATTCTGGATTGTCCCTTGGGGTTATAGTATCGGTATAATTCGGGTACATGAAAATAGGAACACAAGAATATAATAATTTAGACGACCGGATATCCCGAAGAATTTTACTATATGTAGATAGGGTACAATGCATTTACAGGGAAAGATGCTAACATTAAAGATTGCAATCGTAAAGTAGAATTCAAAGAGAGGGTGTTTCCAATTTATATCTTTGGCATTTACATAGACGTTCATTAATATTTTCTTTGAGTGCGATTGTGTTTATTCAGGATGTTTTTAATTTTTTCCCTCAAGACTCTGCTTTTCAAAATGTCATGTTATTTATGGTGTAAGTACTTTCACGGCTGATTTTATTCATTCATTCATTCACCACATAATGCACAGTTTGTTGCGTAATCTTCTTTTTGTGCACCAAGCTACGACATTGATTGTATATGATATTTTACCTCAATGTTCATCGTGTTTATCATCAAACTAATGTCTGATCTTATAATGGAATAAAGATTTTTTTCTCAAATATGGTGTTCTGAACTAAAAAACACACACGTCTGTCTTTAGACGACCAATGTTGACCCGCTCAGACAAGAATTTTATTCGAACGAAAGTCGGACTCGCATTAAAAAAAACAGCAAACGGAGAAAAGAGCGCAGATCTTTTTTGCATCGGGGAGTTACATTCCCGGTGAAACGAAACTGAGGGCCCGCGTAACAGAAAGTCCGCCCTCCATTTAGTTATAACGGTCAGGTTAAGCCTAACCTAAGTGGGTCAAAATCTAGGGCGAGTCTTGCCTGTACAAATGAATGGGAAACGGACTCTCCATCATGGGGCACTCTGTCATGTTAATATTATGGGAAGAGGTGTATAGATTTTAAGCTCGATTTCGGTAACAGAAAGACCTCGTCTGAACACATAAATATAAACAGGAAGTGGGGTTACCTTTTTTTTTTTTGGGGGGGGGGGGGGGCAGATGTTCTAACTTGCCACAGTTCTGAACCTTAGAGAAACAGTCCGTAACCAAGAGCCTCTCCTTTTCCTCACGGGGAGGAAGTTACCCGACTATAGGACATTACAGTAACTGAAACCTGGGAAAAATTCTTAAAAGATCTTTGTTTTGGGCGGACTCCAAACATACACGTTGTTTGGTTGTAAGGACAGGCCCCTTTAAACACAGGCGATGCGTTTCCCAACTTCGTATTTAAGCACCACTTTCAGATTAAATAAGTTTTAATCATGTTAGGGTTATAGATAGTCAAAACAACGGACAAAGACAAAGAGGATAAAAGACTGGCAAACAGACTGCATGTAACCGTCGGTAAGACGTAGGTAAGCAGGAAATGAATACCACCACTACATGTGCGTATTTCATAATTGCTTTCTTTCATGTTCACAATGAAAGTAACTCGTGTTCATCAAGGCAACATCTCATGATTAAGATGCCATGTTCTAAAGGCCACTGGAACATGCAATAAATTATATTTTATCAAACAACACAATATAATGATGATGCAATGCAAAAACGTGTTTTAGCCCAGTTATTGTCGTTGTTGTAGGCGAATGTAGCATACCATATGCTCTTATCAGGCAATCTTTAACGCTACGCTGATAGACATATTTTTGAGACCCTATACAGCCTTCGGTCCTTCACTGATACCAAGTATGTGATCATATAATCCCATACTGGTGCCCTGTGATCCTAGACTCCCGTTCTAGTACCCAATGTCCCAGATTTCCACATTTATACCTAGTGTCACAGTGCGATTGGCAACATGTTTAAGTTTTGTCACAGCAATGAAAGGGCAATCACTCCCTTTGGTTTTAGTGTCTGGAACGCCGGAACCACCTGACGCGCTGGATGGCATGTCCAGAACACAGCATCACACCGGTCACTCAGCAAAAGTCGAACCTGGATCCCTTTGATGCGAGGGGTGTAGAGGTACCTTAGCAAAACCCAATCAAGAAATTGATATTGTTAACAATCCATTGCTAAAGACAATTTTTTTATTCAGCCTTTAGTGCCTTTTAAGTCGGCATACTCTGAAGCAGGTTAAGGACCTTCAGGATCAATAAGCAATCTCAATAATCAACAACTATTGGTTTTATGGCATGCATTTAGATTAAAAGGAATAAGCATGTGCTTGCAATTTACGAGGCTTCCAGGGCATTTACCGGGTTATCAAGCACGTGAGGTTCGCATGTTTTGAGTGTGGAAACTATAGAACACGCAGCCTTTATAACATTAATTTGTTAACCAGGCTCCCGCATGTATCTTTAACAGTTATCAGTTCTATACATTTGTCTCCCGTTTCATCAAGACTCGTTTCCTAAAAGGCATGTCAGTTGGAAGCTAATGCCCCGTTTTCTGTTTAATAACCTGATGGTATCCTATGTGTTTAAAATTACGCTACTTTCGGGTACCAGACAGTCACCATTTGTAAGTACACACACACATGCACACACACATACACACACACAGGCACACACACATACACACACGTACACACACACACACACACACACACACACACACAAAGGGTAAGAATGAATGGGTTTGCATGAAGCTGCGTACATAACCCAATAGATTTTTGTCGGAATGAGGTACCTGTCCTTCTGGGTATCTTTCTCCGATTTGATTATCCCTTGTACACAATGTGCATTGTTAAGTTTCTAGATATTTGATTGATAGTGCCGCATGTCACAGGAAACAGCAATGCGTTCGACTTCAACGGTTGCAACAGTGTACATTGTGTAATTCGTTACACTTTAATATATATCACTATAATTCAACAATGATTCAGATAAATGAAAGCAGTCTTATCTTCTTACTGGTGTAATGACGGCAACTTATCAGTTCCACAGCTCCATTTCCGAATGTTTGATAAATCGTGCAATTTACCAAACGTCGAAATGAGGGGTCTATTTTTTACTCCTGAAAAGCTGTACGGCGTCTCGTTTATAAATGATTTCTTTACATGTGCAGCCATTACTTCGTTATGAGAGAGAGAGAGAGAGAGAGAGAGAGTAGATTATAGCAAATTAAGCTACATTTTGATTTAATTTATAATGAATTAATATACGGAGTTATGTCAAAGCAGCAAAGACAGTACACGCAGATAAAATGAATAAAAACATATATACTCATTAATGTAATGCAGTGTAATAAATATTAATGACTATTTATGTCAAAAGAGCCAGCAGGTCTGTTCAATTGCACAAATACGATAGCCAAGAGAATACTCTTAAAGTACGATGGAAAGGTCGCGAGACATCTGACCCAGCACTGAAACCATGGAATACATGTATCATAGGGGCGCATTCAGAACATGTTGATCCGCGGACTAACAGATCCGCGGATCAAATATGGCAGACCCACTTAAAAACTTGTCGCATAATTCCCTAATAGACACTGAATAGATTCCCTGTGGGGACAACGAGGTAAGCTTTCAACTGGGTCAGCTATATTTCATCCTCGGATCTAAGTCCACGGATCAACTTTGTTTGTGAATGCGGCCATAGCTTTTGTGTTCGTGCTTTCCTTATTAACTGATGAGAAATGAATTTCCTTTCAACTGAGAGATGGCAGATTTCACTCAAACAAAGAGCTAAATAGCACTATTACTCTTTTAAATTGTTTCGTGGCCTGACAGGTAGAAACATTGGATATGGACATAACAAAGCAAGCACTATTACTCTTTTAAATTGTTTCGTGGCCTGACAGGTAGAAACATTGGATATGGGCATAACAAAGCAAGCACTATTACTCTTTTAAATTGTTTGTGGCCTGACAGGTAGAAACATTGGATATGGGCATAACAAAGCAAGCACTATTACTCTTTTAAATTGTTTGTGGCCTGACAGGTAGAAACATTGGACATGGATATAACAAAGCTATAAACCAAGATATCACACAA